TAACATTACTAATGGATCAAAAATATTGAAAGTAACATATACGATTTGTCTAATTTATTGAAAACTCAACTTAATGCCGTTGATATTATTGTTCAATTTAATATATCCAACGCATCAATTATCTTTCTGAACATTTTGTTTTTTCTATTGTTCACAATCAATTCATATTTTTTACTGTATGCATGGCGGGCCTGAAAATTTTGAGGTCCTTAGCCACAAAGTATAATGAGGACCTTTAATATAATTTTTTACCCATTATTTGAATATTTAAATAAATAACATATATTTATGTCAATGAAAATTTTGTATAATTCAAAAGAAAGAGTAACAAAGTGAAACACCTTTCACAAATCTAGAGATTAGGCTAACATAATATTTACCGCCATTTTATAGTAAGAATGCATTGTAATAGTAGATTGATAAAAAATGTGTGATTAAAAAATAAGAAATTTTTTTAGATTTGCATATAATATTATTTTATTGAAAAATGTGTGGTTGAAAAAAAAACATATTTTGAAAATAATGAAGATCGAACAATGGCTTAGCCTTCTCACATGTAGAGATGCAAAATTAGTAAGGAAATTACTTTTATTTTGTATTTTAGTTTGGTATATGTCATATTTTTCAATCATTCTAGTTTTTCACATTTAAAAATTTTGAATACTTAAAATTCATTTGAATAAACATATCATTTTGAGGGTTTTATATACTGAATAGTAGATTAGGAGTCTCACATCTCTATGTTAGTAAAGATTGTACTGGAAAGCATAGAATGAAGAGTTCATAACAATGGAATATGATGTTTGCTTTTTGCACAATTATATTGCTTGATGTGGCAGATTCAACAAGCACTTGCCACAAAATAATCCGGTGGCTTTACTATTGCCACAACAAACATGTCTTCCCCAATTTTTGCAACAAAATCAAAATATTTTCACCATTTTGACAGCACAAACATCAAAAAAATGAACAAGACATAGGCTCGTAATACACTGTAACTTCTTATGCATTTGGAATCTTTCAACAAAAACAGTGATAAAGTACTTGTACTTTAGTATTTGTTCATGCCTTCACTTTCCTTGCAAGGTAAAATTCCATATATTTTTTTAGGCCCTTGACATCTTGAGGCCCTAGGCCATTGCCTAGTTGGCTTTGGTCTGGGGCTAGCTCTGATTGTTCGAAACCAATTATTTTATGTTTTTAATTTGCATAGACATTTTTATAGGGAAAAAAAATCATAAATCAGGTATCAAGTATGTACCAAGTCAATTTTCAAACATTAATCTTATTATTAAATATATTAAGGTGACAATCTTACAATTCATGGTCACAGATGCGCACTTATAGGTCACAACTTCACGTTATCCAATTAACGGTACAAAATCGAAAACATTATAGGTCACAACTTCATATTATCAAATTAATTGTTCACAGATTACTTCGGTGGTCATAAGTCGAAAACATTATAGGTTACAATTCATTTGTCACTACTACGACACCACTGCTACCATTGCACCACCACCAATCTCAGTTGTCATCACCGTAAGCACCATCACCACCATTGGAAATCCACCACCAACCAACAATCACAAAAATCACCTCAAAAACATCGCCACTGTAGCGGATCAATAACAATCACCACAAATTTATGACCGCTGCCACACCCTCAACCACTATCACCGCCAACACAAACGCCTAACCCACCATCACCACCAACATCAACACCATCTCACTAGTATCGCCAACATTACGACCGCAGCCAACATCACAGCTGCCACCACCCAAACACCACAAAAAATAGTTCCAAATTTCTCAGTCATCACTATGACCACCATGACCGCAAATCGAGACTTAATTTTCCTAGATCTCACATCATTCATCACGACGCGATGACCACCACTTAGATCCAGGTACAAAGGTCGTCTCTCACGTTTAGAGACAGCGCTATTACGCGTGACTGTGGTGCCGCTCAGCCGCGCTACGACAGTGACAGGTTGCTTCGTGCGTTTGGGGGAGGAGCAATGGTTGGGTGATGGATGAGAGAGAGCAGGGACGGGTATAGGTCGCATCTCGCGATAGTGGTGTAAGGCCGAGTCATCGGCATAGAGGAAAGAAAGGAGTCGTTGCAAGCCGTGTGAGGGAGAAAGAGATGGGTATTTAGAGATGTAGAGGGTGAAAAGAGAGAGAGTGTGTGTGTGTTATGGAAATGAATTAGGAATTTAATAGATGGGTGGGTGAGGTGTGTTTCGATACCTAATTTGTAAATAATGAAACTTCATCCTTGATTTTTGAATTGTAATGTTTAAACAGCCGCGGTCATGTAATTTCCTCATTTTTAATTTGTTTAGTTAGAAGAAATTATTTACGTGTAATTATTCTCCTATTTGGACTATCTTAAAAGGCTCGGTAGGTGTTAAGGTGGAGGACTATAGGCTAGCAATTCAAGAGAGAATCAGGCCCATGGCTCTGGGGAAGCTTACTAGATCCTCCTGCTAAAAGCCACTGAACTGGGCTCTGTCGTACATTTCTTGTTAGACAGTTTTCCTTGGCCATCTATAAATACCATAAATGCATTTTTATCATTAAAAAAAAAAAAAACTTATTGAGAAAATAATACTTCAATGCCCAAAAATACGAAAGAAATGTAAAATAAAATGACTTTTTAAATATATGGTCGCAGTTGCTTGTAATAAGATTCTCTTTACAGCAGAGTGAAGTCAAGGGTTGATTAAAATATCTTTTCGACTGTAACAATATGTGCTACAGTTTGGACCAGCTCCGAATCCGTCCCTGCTTTACTGATATTTATTTTTATATGAATTATACGCTGAAAATGTCCCAATTCATTTCACTTTTTGAAAACTTTTGTTTTCTACGTTAAATTTGTTATATTATATGGAATATTTTTCAAGTATGTAGAATAATTCGACATAGATATGTCTAACCGATATAGAATTAAAGGACAATGGTTACATGGGCTCGGCACACTTTGCAAAAGAAAAGTAGGGACTTTACTTTTTTGGGATTCTATCAATTATTCTTCACAAGAGGGCCCCAAAAAATTGATAATTATTGAACAACTGTGAAAAGCAATTACAAAAATCAAAAAAATTTATTCGTTCTTTCTTAACCTTCGTTTGAATATAGTCAACCCTTACAAGTGTTCATTATAGTGTTGTTGGCGCTTTTGCTGATGTGTAATACAATTTTGTCTTGAGTTAAAATTAATCGAGTCCAAGTGTTAATACTTTTGTAGTGTTTAAATTGATGTAGACATCCACTTGCTGGACCTATAAATATTTTATTCTCTCTTATGTGTAAAGGAGAATTTTGTTTATGAAATTCGATGACAAGGGAAAGTAAATGCAATAAATGGAAATGATTGCTCCCGGGGCATAGTCCAGTGGCGTAAAGGATAGGAGTGAAATTATCTCACGCCTTATTGACAGTCGCAGTGTGGAAGTTCAATTCTTGAAACATAAAATTAGACTCTTTGTAGGCGTAATGTACAAGCAACTCTTGTTCCCTGATTTGTTGAAACACATCCCACGATTTACCTCCCGCACAAAACTCTAGAGATAGGGTGATGGGGGCCCTCAAGATTGGGGTTCAACCTTTTTAATAAATGGAAATGATTTATCTTTTGGAATTAAAAGCAAACATTTTTGTTGGTTCAAACTCCATTTTAGATGTCTTTAGCTTTTGAGGTCTAAGGGTACAAAAGTAGACATCCACTTTGGGTTGAAAAAAGTTTGTGCGTTCATTTGTTGCATTTCTTGTTTCATTTATGAGCTTAGGATGTGGACCCCTATAAATTCATAATTCCTTTGTTTGAGAAGGATCTAGAGGATCTTTCTTGAATGAGGGCCGGAATTATTGTCAGGAAGAGAAAACTTGTCATCTACAAGGAAATGATTCAATGACTTGTAATCAATGACTAATCTCAATTTTAAGAGTAAATCCTACAACGATTAGATATATAAGTGATAATTATTAATATGTAAAAGTTTGGGTTACTTATCATAGTAAATTTAATTTTTTATGATAAAATCTAAGACTGTTCATTGTTAGGATTTAATGAGCTTAAACGAGTAATGAATTGGTATTATCTATCATGAAGGATATATTGAGTAAACAGTAATGTTATTCATAGTGAAGACTACCAATAATCGTTCTACGTGCGTATATGTGGTAATTATTATTTGATACATGATACAATAAAAAAATTATCGCATTAATGTATCAATTAACAAACTGTTACGTGTATGTCACGTTAGACAACTATCGATAGTTTTCACTATAAATAACATTATTCTTGAATTATCCATCATAATTCTCAATAACTTCTATCTTAAATTGGTTTTTTAAAATAAAATCAATTTAAATAGTGTACATTTTCCTCCTAGCAAAAAGAACAAAAGTAAAATATTCGAATTATTTAACTTTAGGACGTCCACTTGTGACCTTGCTAGCTTCTCAAGTCCAATCCCTTTGGAATATTCATTTTGGTTGATTCTTTATATCCAATGGCACATTCTCTCCATTTCAACATAAACTTGAAAATTCCACGCATTTTGTTTTCTTAGAATAAAATTGTACAAAATTCCATAAATTACAGCTCATCCATTCTAAAAGTTTAATACGATTCATGTTATCGTTGGATGTCATGCATTACAAACGTAGAACTTATGATAACTAATAAAAAGTTCACGTATAATTATCCCGTTATCGAAGTACAAAGATGTAAATACAATTCAAAACTAGGCAAACTTGAAAATAATGATCAAAGATTGTTAACACAAACAAATCACACAAAAATTATCAATTGGCACAACCGAAATCGAAATGAATTAGTAGGCTCTCTAAGGAAGGAGACATGAGCTCCAAAATATGAACCCTTGATCTCAAGATTACAAACCTTCTAAGCTACCAAATTGCTCTTTAAACAAAACAATACAATAATTTATATATATATTAATCATATTCAAGCTAAGAAATTAAACATGCTATAATCATCTCAATGAAATGATTATTGAGTGGTAATATATCGAAAAACTTCCACTAACAACTTTTTATTCCTTCTAAATTACACCAAAAATATACAATACCGCCTTACATTGTCACCTATTTCCTTCACATGCCTATGATACATACAAAAAACATTCATATTATTGTTCAATCTTATCTTACACGATTGACCAAACGTGCAATGCATGTGACCTTCAAAAACATTGTGTTACATGATTGAGCATCCACTTGCATCATCATCATAATAATCACCGCGATCATCAACGGGATCAGACGGTGGAGGAGGCGGATAATAATCATATTGGCGCGAGTGCATATAAGAATACATGGGGTGTGCATAAGCATAACCTGAAGCACTACCAGAACTAGGTGGAGGCGCTGTACTGTAACTCAACCCATATTCTGGAACAGCATGGTAAGACTGCGAATATGGAGGAATAACATGACGTGGAGGGCTGTAATTCGCTTCATAAACGGGTGGGCCCGTGGTTTTTGTGGGTGGAAAAGATTCACCGCTTGCTGATACAGGTGCACCATTTGCACCCTCACTATTTCCTTGACCCGTTTTACCCTTTTTCTTCTTTTTCTTCTTCTTTT